TGGTGTCTTACTCATGAGCAAATTGCTGGAAATACTTGACATTTGAGATAATTGGACACAAAGATGATACGAAACTTAGTCCTACGAGAAGCTGAGCACTCTAGATTCAGTTCACAAAAAGACATAAGTGAGAACCTGAGTTGTTCGGCGGCAGTCAGTGGGGCTGGGCTCACACTGGTGGTTAAGAACACACTTACATCCTCTGCTGAAACAGAGCCCAGAGCAGCGAGCGCCTTGCAGGACTCCATGTTCCTGTTCTCTGACTGGACTTGTCAGCCTCGTAGAATCGCCTCTCGCAGGGATTTTGCTTTAAAAATGTTTTCTGGCAGTGAAAAACAATACAGTGTTCAAAAGCAACGCACCTGTAAAGGGAAGAAATAGTATTTCAGGATCTTTTAAAGATCTGCAGTATATCTGTGTCTGTTGTTTTGGATTTTGATCCAGATACCTCCTAATTCCTAGACCTCCTTGGCCTGCTCTACTTGTGCCTGTAACTCCAAATTTTCTATGATGGTGATATTACCTTCTGAATTTTCTATCTCCTGTTAGAATTAATTCAGTAGTGTTTCAGAGACTTTTTTTAAAGTGGGGAGGCAGGGGGCAAAAGAAACACAAATCGCAGTATTTAAGCAAAAAGCACATTGGGAAGGAAATTATCATTTTCCCCACACAGCTCTGGTGTATAGAGAAATTAAGAGCAAACTTATGTACTCTGCTCCAATTCAACTGTGCCACTCTGATGTGAATCCCAGATGCTGCTTTTCTCACACAATGTCCCTTCTCTCTATCATTTTTTCTTCCCATCAGATTTCTCTCCTCAAGGAGGCCCTGTTCCTAGAGTCATGTTTGCTTCAGCTTTCCCTTTTGTCCTCCAGGTACTGCAACAGAGGCTTCTGCCTCTAAACAGTCGTTCTTTGCCCCTTATGCTTTTGTGCATACCTCCCCAAAACCTCTCCATTCCTTTCACTTTCAGACTGCTCGGATTGTCTCACCTTTAATTAAACTTACCTTTTTGTCTCTGTTTACCATTTTTCATGTGTAATACACACCCTTACAGAGAGACCAGCAGTGTCTCTGTTACAGTCTCTGTAATAGTTAAGAGGTTACAGTCTCATTTTTTTAACGTGCTACAGATATGAACAGCGAAAGACAGTCCATGTCTCAAAAAGCTTGCAATTTAGAGAGAAGGCAGGCAAAGAATGAGGGAAAAATAGGATTAGTACCTCCTTGATTGAGGAGGAGAAGTGAAGAAAAGCAATGTAAAGACCATGCATAGTTCCTCCAGTGTCAAAGCAGAGACATTAGTGGGACTTGGACCTGGACCTAGGTGCTCTGAGGCTGTGCAGTTCAGTACTTTAACCACAAAGCTGTTTTTCCTTTCTCTCCTGTGTTGCTCCCTGCCCTCCTCCTGTTCCAGAGTGTGGAGGGAGGCAGTCCACCCTCACCCCTGAGGCTTGGCACCCACCAGTACCTTCTCTTTCACATATTAGGCTCTGCCCCCTGTTCACAGCTCCTTCCTACACGCCTCGTGAGTGCTCCTCCCAGGTGCAGCTAACTGCTTTTTTGGAGATAAGAAATGGGGCACAGACGAAAAGAAACATGGTTTTCATTTTCATATTTAAAAAAAACCCTGTAACTCAGAACCTTCACACATCCTCAGGAAAGGGAGAGGTAATCACTAAGATGGCACTTATCTTTTCAGGTGGGTTTTTCAATCTATTTCTCACTCTGCTGCTTTGGGTGCACTTACTTTTTCTAGCTCAATTTTTCATATGCATTTCAGTGGTTGTCATCAACGCAGCATCTGAGCACCTTCCAGTTTTAATCAATTACCTCTTACAAATCACCAGCTTAGAAGATTCAGGAAATTATCACTGTGCTTTTTTAGCAATAGTAAACTAAGGCAGAGAAATTAAGTAACTTGTCTTCAGTTGCATGTGTGGCTGGGCAGCCCAAGAAGAGAAGCCCCCGATTCTCTCTGTTGTGCCTTGACTGAAAGACCCTGTTCAGGTTGTTGTCCTTCCTCTCCTGGAGATCCACAAGGGTGGCTCCATCTTCACCTGTCTCTCTAGTCCGAGAGGGACAACAATGGGGTCCTACAATTTGATTCCGATCTCTTGGGGAGTGGGATTTGCAATAGCCTGATTGAAGTTGCCACTCAAAACTGCCACAGATCTGTTTTCAGTGGTTTCTCTGCCTCCTCTTACTACAAGGGAACCCTTAAAAATACATGATATTTTTCATTCTGAAGATTATTAACTAAGGCTTGGGAAATGCTGAGATATTACACCGAGAGTGGCTGCAGTGGCAGACCCCATATAGAAGGACAAACTGTTTTCCACCTGTATGAAAAAGAGGGCTGAACTCCTTTTTTCGACCAGACATACAGCACGCTTTCTGCTGTAGACCTTGGGAATGCTTTGGTGCTGCTTACGTGAGAAACCAAATTGTTTTTGACCTCAGTGAAGAGGGGGCCAAGAGGGACATATCTGACACCTTTTAGGGACATATCTGACACCTTTTAGCAACCGCAAGGTTTTCTGCAGAATAGACATAGCCTATGAAACAAACACACAGCTGGAGTTAGGGTGCTTTTGAAAACATTGTCTTTATTCTCTTTGCTTATTCCCTCTTCAGAAAGGGACTTTTCTGGCACACAGCCTAGCCTGGCTGGAGATTAGGGATTCTCTCTGCCCCTTCATCCTTGAATATTTCCTTTTAATTTCACAGTTTAAATTCCAATTGTGTAATTACATTCTGCCTACCCTAAATTCCTCTGTAATTTCAATTGGACACGGTGTCCTTCACTCTCTAGGCTGAACTCTTGCAGTGCTGTGGGGCACTGTTAAAAGGCTGCCACGCTCCACTCTAGTCCCATTTCATGTAAATGGAGAAAGAGAATGGACCTAAATCCCTCTGAACTAAAACTGCTGCTCCATATAGGCGAGACAGGGGTTGCCGTAGAGTGACAAGGCAGTCTTACCCCATGGCAATACACTGGGCATTTTTTACAATGCCTCAGTCTGAACAGATTTTTGGAGTAAAAGTCTAAATCTGTCTGGAGGTATTTCTCCCCCACAACACCATACCCTTTGATCGCAAATAAAGCTGTACAGGGACCCCCAAACCACTACTTTGCTGAATTTATGTGGCCTGAGAGTACCTGCACACACCGTTTAACATGGCAGAAATGCCATAGTGATTTAATTTAGGTTCAGGGAGTCGTGTAGCAATGAGAGAGTACGCAGCACAGATGCCTAGTTCAGTAAAACGCTTTACAAAAACTGGCCAATCCCATGCATTTTATGACCCAGCCCCAATACTTTTTGCAGACTTTGCTCTGCCAGCATTTTCCCTCAATCCCTACCCTGGTGGCAATCACCCGAGTTCCACATCCCAATTTTTTTTATCATAACATTCCTTTTTTAAGTGTTGGTATCTACTTTACATCAATGTGAAAATATTTCTGCTTCTCCTATCTCCTCTTGCTTTCCGCTTCCTTCCTTACTGTGGCACAGCTGCTTACTTGCTCAATGTGCCTGCGTGCGGCCCTTCAGGTATCGGAGACATTCACCTTTCGTATTTCCACCACCTTCTGCTGTGGTCTTCTGTGGAAACTCAGGATGGAGAAGGGCAGGGAGCGTGTGTTGATGGGAGAATGCTCCTCCTTTGTCTTGTCTTGTCTTCTAGAACAAAATTCCTCTTTTCGTACAAGTTCTGTGGCAGGCTTATGGAAAGGAGTTGCTCACCTGGTTTAAAGTGATGTTCTACACAGCTCAGCAAAAAGGAATTGGTTTACTGTAGGAATTATTTGATGGTTGATCATCTTCAGCCACAAGCCACATTCTTTTCACCATGTGTATGCCATTGTCAGAGGTACATGGGGCTGATTCCATAATTAGCAAAAGTCCTTTACCAAAGTTCATTTCCCTTCACTGCAAAAGTACCCTGGATAGTCCTCCTACCACACAATGATAAATCTTCACCTGAAATAAACATCCAGCTCCTTGCTGGCAGTGCTGTATCTACGTGGAGCCTCAGTCGCTCTGAATTTTGATGGGACTTCTGCTTTATATATTCTGCAGATTTGGTCCTGCTCCCAAGGGACATCTTTATGCCTGCTCCTGTGGTAGCAGACCTGAGGCTGCTGTTTGCGTCTCTGGCAAACAGCAGATAGATCAGATGAGATCAAGTAGACCATATTTCCATGTTTCCTTGGTTAGCTTATACTGTTAAAAGTGAGTTGTTGTTAGGAGGAAACAGAGCATGTAATAACTAGCGTTGGGTTTTGTTTGGCTTTGAGTCATAAATCTTAAAGGAAAGGAAAGAGCCATCATGTTCATCCCCAAGTTTGTCATACAATCAGCAAGGGGCAAGGCAGTAGTATGGGCAAGAAAATGAAACATGTGAAGGTACAAGTGCCAGCGGGGGGAAGTCACTGTTGCTTATTGTCAGTTTTGGTGTGACACAGAAAGTTCAGCTAATCCTCTTAGTTACAGAGACACACGGGTGGGGGGAGATTGTTATCTCAAGCAATTTGCTGGCTCTACTCCTTTTTTCCTTCTAGTTTCTTTTCGCCTAATTGAGCAGCATTTCTTCCTGGGACTGGTTTGCAATAATCCTGGGGCCTCATCTGGGAAAACACTGAAAAACATAGAAAGGAGAAGCAGCCCAAGTGAGGCAGCTATCACCATGAGATTCTCTCTTCAGAGAGGTATGAGGTTTGGCTCCAAGTGCCGAGGATTAAAAATAAGATAGAGATTCAAAGTGATACAGAAGAGTCTGTTGATCAGAGCCAGTGATCACTCAGAAGGGTGTATCTCAGACATGAGCTAAAAGGATGGGTAATTAACAGCCATTCAGAAAAGGAGGAGCTTGGGTGAGGATTCCACTGGAGTGCATCCGAAATGTGTTGATTCCACTTTCATTGCCAAAGGGATGTATCTATCTGCGGTAAATCCAATCAAGAGTCAAAAGGTGAACAAGAACAATAATAACTGGGGAGGTTTGTTTTTATTTACCCAGGAGATAAGGATTCAACTACAGGAATAGAATGAGAAAAAGGCGCCTCTTTCTGAGCAGACAATTATTCCACCCACGCGCACTCATCATCAATGTTTTAATATTCTATTACTAAGGCTATTTAACAGTTTCTCAGCCTCAAGGCTGGTAATGTTTGTGCAGGTACTCTGCCAGTTGCCACAGGTGTCTTTTTACAAAAGACCTGAATAATTAACATGGGATAGTCCTGAAGATGGCAGTAGCCAGGAGCCATTCTTCAGTAGACTCCCAGCATTGTTCCTGGTGCAGGGTTGGTGTTACCAGTAGGAGGACACATTTGAAAACCCTATTTCCATATGCAGACAGAGCCTTAGTCCCTGAAGGCAGGGGACTGTTTCCAGCACCTTGATCTTACATCCCAACCAGAACCATCTCTGGTTCCCAAGCCCTAGTGATTCACCCTGGAGAAGTTTGAGATATTACCCTCTTCAGCTGCCTGCATTACTAAGGTGCTGGAGGTAGTTAACCCAAAGAAGAGGTGGCCGAATAGAACTGTTTCCAGCACCTTGATCTTACATCCCAACCAGAACCATCTCTGGTTCCCAAGCCCTAGTGATTCACCCTGGAGAAGTTTGAGATATTACCCTCTTCAGCTGCCTGCATTACTAAGGTGCTGGAGGTAGTTAACCCAAAGAAGAGGTGGCCGAATAGAATAGAATCATTGAATAGAATAGTTTGGGTTGGAAAGGACCTCTAAAGGTCATCTAGTCCAACCCCCCTGCCGTGGGCAGGGACATCT